CATGAGAAGGAGGCTGGATGAGCCTCGAGTCTAGCTAGGACTATCACTTCTCTCATGAGACAAACATTAAAAACACACAATAGGCTATAGCATATACCTAAACATGAGCCAACATTAAAGGATCGTACGCTAGTTTATTTGTGTAATGAAAAAGCTGACACCGAATTTACTTCCGATTCATGAATTAACTTCATTCATCTGCAAACATGTAGAGTAATATTTTTGTGTAGACTTTCATTTCGTATCAAACTGATAAGGGATTTGTAAGTCGATCTCACCACAAGACCACGTATAATCGCTGTTGTACTACAGCTTTAATAGGACTTCCTCCCTTGTTTTAGCCGAAAACAGGTTGAGCTTTTGTTAGTCCTATGTCGGACATCATCAGAGCCGGGAGTCATTCTTGCAAAAATATCAAATTAATCATAAGTTAAGAAGAATTGATATATTTACTTAGAACGAGAAAAATTTTAAAGAGCTTGAAAGGTTTGATTAATTCTCTTATACTTAAATGTGTGTGCGTGTGTGTGTATGCCGACGTATGTACGCAAACCCCCCCCCCCATACAAACACACTACAGTATAAAAGAATTAACTAAGTATTTCTATATCCATTTATAACGTAAAATTTTTTTCGAAAAATGTGGTTATCGTATTTAATAGAGTTTCGAGACTACCAGTAAATCAGTAATATGAGATGAAATAACCCTATTTTGTTTAAGGTGATGAAGGAATAGTAGTAGCATTTTCCCACAAGGATATGAGTAGAGCTGACGTTTCCATTCGATTTCACATAGCCTTGCTTTCCCAAAAATTGCTCTCTACTAGGCACCAGAGGACTGCACTTTCGACCTCGTATCGGTTTATCAACACCTAAAACGAAATAGGGTGAATACATCTCATATTAATGTCTTAATGTATCGAATATAAAAGAGCCAGCCAGTCTTCTTCATTTAGTATTAACTTCAGACTTTTTCAAGAATGAGTTCTATTTCTGATGGCGTTCGTCATTTCGCCAGAAACGGGGGAGGATGTCTCTTGGACGGCGTCAACCTGAACGTCCTATTAAAGCCAATCGGCTGCAGTACAACGGGAGTCAGTCATCGTCTTCTGGTGAGATAGACCTTTGGATCTATTCATCATGCACTTTCATACGAAATGAAAGTTTCCACAACAATATTATCAGAGCTTTTTCTTTGTATATAGATGTAAAGTGATTTTGAGTCGGTCAATCAAATCATTGAATGCAGGGTTACGTGTACGAAAATGTGACTAATGTTGCAGCTGGTAACTTTCTCTTTAGGTTTGCTATACTTTTGCGCTATTTTATAAAGAATGTGTTCTTTCTATGAGGATGTCTGTCACAGTACAGACGAAAGCTTAGTATAGGTTCATAAGGTTTGCAGAATGGTTAGAATACGACTTTGAACAATACAGTAGTCTTTACTCCGCGAAACTCATTCTTGGGTTTCCGGTGGGACTTTTTTACGAATTTCTTACAACCAATTTTTTAATATAAATGGGGATTCATGTTACATTTCAACCGTTAGTCATTAATCGAGGTTGATTCAAGTCTTTTTATCAAAATGTAAGGCTAATTCTAATTTTTGATAAAACTAAATCCTACATTATTTCCTACATACCCCTTATATTCAACGTACCCCTAATCGGTTGTTTTGGATGACCAAGGAAAATCCTTCCTTCGTCCGCTGGTGAGAGTGATCCATGCATCTCTTCTTCCAGCATTTCCCAACAAATTTAAGTCATCATATTTTTCGTTTACAAGTAGGTTTTTGAGAATACCCGTAGATCGTATATATGAGGTGTATTCATGGTTCGAGTCCCACTGGGGGTGCTGATGAGGCAGACTTATGCGAGGTCTAAACTGCAGTCTACTCCAGCCTGGATGAGGATAATTTTTGGGAAAGCAATTCTATGTGAAAGTGAATAGAAACGTAAGGTCCACTCATGTCATTGTGGGAAATTTCACCTTAAACGGAATAAGGTGAATATACCTAATATAACGATCTACTGGTCGTCTAGAAAACCAACACTTGGCGATTAATTAACTTACAAGTTAGTTATGAGATATGGCCACCCCATTTTTTCAAGGTCATAGACAATTGATAGTTGAATTTTCCTACAATGACATTACTAGACTTTAAGTTTCCATTGAATTTAATATAGCCTTGCCTCCCAAAGGGCCTTTTGCAAGCTAACCTGGGACAAAGCTCAAAGCAAAACCCCTCATTGAGTACATAAACTGGCACATATAATCGTCAATCTAATCTAACTATCTAATTTCATATAGCTTTCCCTATTCATTTGTTCTCTCCCTCCTCTCTTCGCCTGGCTTCTGTCTCTCTGGCCCATCAACTGAAGACGACACGTTTGCTAGGACTGCGTCATCGGCTTCATTTGGCCACTGTCCTCCCCAACTTCCAGAAAGGGGATGGCCGGTGGCAGACGGGATTGCGTGCAGACCAGATTACTTGACCAGGCCCATAATTAGTGACACTCGTAGGCAGAAGAGTGCATTGATCCCAGCGAAATGAGGAGACCACTGCCTTGGAGGAAGAGGAAATATTTGGCCAAGAGCGAAAAATCACTACTTTCGACGAGCCCCTTAACGAAAACCTGGCATATTTTGTGTCGAACAAGACGACTCAATTAGTAGACGAAGGAGAAAAACTTGTTGCTTGCATAAAATGAAAAAGACCCCAGAATTTCGCATCCAAAATTAGCACTGTTGCCTTAGTGATTATGTCTTCGGGACGCATTAACCTTTTGTCTATACCGACAGAACGAGAATAGATTCCCTATAGATACGAAGTACAGCTGGGTTTCGGTGAATCTCTTAAGTTGAGGTTGTTAAGAGGATTTAAATTCCATGTGAAAGTGTATGATGGGGAGATTCGTTGGCTGAGTTCGCATGGAGACGACAGCCGATCGTCATTTTTCTGCAGCCGTTTGGTCCTATTGACACAGTTCACAAGACATCTTCCCTCGTCTTGGGTAAAAGCGGGCTGAGCTTATGTCCATCAAATGACGAACATTATCCCAGTTGGAACTCTTTCTCGTAAAAATCGCAAGCTAATACAAGTTTAAGAAGACCGTTCTGCTCTACTTGACGTCTTGTATTTATACGTTACCATAAAATGAACATACATAGATATAGATAGATAAATATAGAATGATTTGGTTAGTCCAATTTTCATTTAGTTTTCTTCGAATTTGGCCATGCATTTATTTGCCAAATTGGGAGCTAAGCAAGATTTCATCGCAAGCCCTTGTGTCTGTTCATAAAACTTGCCGTCAAAGGCAAAATCTAAAATAGAACTGACAAACTCTATCAATCAATCAATCAATCAATCAATCAATCAATCTATCTATCTATCTATCTATC